TTTGCTACTGAGTCGTACTTGGGACATTTTTGCTGATATATTATATGATTCATCATGCGGGTTCTTGTGTTTCCCGGCGGCAGGTTAGGCACTGAGCCATTGTTTGGTGGGTTGTTTGATGAGGACGCCAAGCTAGGGCTCGACCCGGCTGGTGCTTCAATAAGTTTTATGTTTCATCAACCTTGACTTGGGATGAAAAACTGAATCTCACTGGCCCATGACTTGGATTTATCCTTTTCGATTCGCACGGCGGCGCGAACCGCCATGGTTAGGACCGTCATGGCCTTCGCTCGGCACGGACTGCGACCCGAGGCTTTGGCACTCGAGAAGCGGGGATGGGAACGCTGCCTGGAGGCAGTGAAAGCTCTGGCAGCACAGGCGCGGAGGTCTTCGGAGGTGTGGAGGGATCGATGCCTCCGGGATTCGATGGAGGAGCCTCCAGAATTCGGTGGCTCCGGGATCTGAAACTAGACTTGAAGGATCTTGAAGGATGAATCTGCAGAGGTGAGGGGCACCAGCTACAAGTTTCGGAAGCTCGCAGCGGATGGGGCCTCTCTCTGGCACCCCTGGGACCATCTGGGACCTGGGACCATTTGGGACCCCTGCTGTCCTGATAGTCGCCGCCTTCGGAACGGCGGAAGGAATTCCCTTTCATCAGATCTCTGCCCTGGGCGATGCCACTCGACGATCTCGGCCCTGGGCGATGGTGGAGTTGGGGGAGATGGTGTAGCCAACTCTTTGGAAGACCAGGACCATACCATACCATCCGTTTTCCCCAAAGGATCAGAAGGGATCAAAAGAGCTTGTTCCCTCTCCATCGTGATGCACAAGCACACAAGCACAGCATGCAATCGGCGATGGTTGTGTATATTTGCCGCATTCTTTTATTTTTTGTGCGTTTGATCCCCCTCATCATCCCCCTCTTCCCTTAATGTTACCGATTTGCCTCCCTTTAATATGACTATACTCTAAACATCTCTAAACTCTAAACATTCCGCTCCAAAAAGGACATGGCGATCTGATCCCGGCTGCCGGTGATCCGAGGATTGGAAGCACCTTTTTGCCGGGTACTACGACACGGCCAGCTACCGAGAGGCTGAGCGGGCGGAAGAGGTGTTGGAATCCTCGTTGAAGCGCTACGAGCCTTGGGAGACAAACATGGGCGGAGGTGATGGGGCGTGAAGACTGGTTGGGATGGCAGGATGGCATTGGTGAAGCATAGTCCAACTTCACCACGCCTGGGCCTAAACAATATGTAAATATAGAGCACGCCTACATGTACTATCCTTTTTGATCCTTTTTGCCTCCAGGGGTTGCGAAGATTATCCCCCCCAATGGGGTATGATTTCTGATGTTTGTTTCTTTCATGGGCCTTAATCAAGGCCAAGTGAATGACTCTTGAAGAGATGATGTGGTCTTGTTCCTGGTGTCAGGTGGGAGTGATTGCATGCGATTCACAGGGAAGACCATTCAGGATGTTTGTAGATTTCGTCATGGCAAGGGAGGGATTTCCACCTGTAAGTTGACACACTTGGACACAATAGCATCAAACCAAACAGGGACAACTCGACACAGTTGCCTCCTCCTTCCCCTCCTCCGCAGAAGAAGCATTGGAAAGCCAATCTTCGGCCTGGACTTGGTGAGCGTTTGTACTCCTCATGAATCACCCGAAGGGCGACCACGACGTACCAGGGTTTATCAATGGAATCTTCAAGCGACCTACAACAGCAGGTCGGCAGGGCATAGGTTCAGGTAGATTCGCGGCCTGTATCCTGACCCATTTCACCCATCCTGGCAACGTCGGCCGCGCGCACCGCGCGCATGTGATTTCGCCGATGGTCTTTACCCGTCCTCACCAGACCCCACCGATGCCGCTCGATCGGTCGAAGGAGAAGATTGAGGAGGGAGCCGTCGCGACCGACATCCCTGAGCCTCAGTCGGCATTCCCGAGACACAACCGGTGGGACTGGCAGACTTGGCCGAAAAGAGGTGAAGGTTGGCATAAATTCAATGCATTCCATACATGGAGTGTCCACACATGCATGAAGTGTTTGGGTTCAGCCTTGCATCGCTTCACATCAGGTCGTTTGTATTATTGGAATATTATAATAATCCGTCTATATTCTATATGAACTGTCTCACTGTCTGACTGACAGCTCATGTGCTGAGTTTTTGCTGAGTTCTGAGTTATATCACTACTTACACCTACTCTTCGGGCTCTTCTAGCTTCATTAAGCCGTTTGTGTGTCATTGACGTCCAAGGAACCCAAAGTCTTTCCCACTGTGGACATCTATGGCCCCCTGACGGTGTGACCGGGTGCCAGGCAGCACAGGGCAAAGATGATCACACCATTCGGGGGCTGATCGAACACTGTCTAATTCACATGTTCATTCAACTGAAACACCAGTTCTAGAGCAAGTTTGCGATTCAGATGGTCACAATCCAAGAACTTGCCTAGATAGCCAGTGGCAGTGTATAAATGCCCCCTACATCAGAAATTCTGAGGATGTATACTTGGACATCATTCCGAACGCCGCTTCAGGACCACCAAAGGGTTGCCAACGTGATGTCAGACGAAACCAAAGAAGCTTGCATTCGTTGGGAGGATTCACCCAGTAGGTTTGAGAGGCCTTTTGCAAGGCAGAACGGTCAGATTCACGGGTGTGTGTTTCTTTTAATGGAGACCTCCAACCAATGGATTTTGGCTTGATTTGTTTTCTTCCAGTGGATCCATCGGGTGCCTCCCTATTGGGATACCCAATTGTTGTTTGGAAGCTGCTGTTGTGACGCACGGAAGAGGGTCTCATGAGATGGGTCTCAGACGACACCCAGAAACAAAAAACTGAGGGTTTGAGTAGTTCTAGATGGTCATGATCGACCACCGAACGCCTTGAAGGTGAAATCCTGCCCAAAAGAGGCCGAGAGACCTGAACGTTCGGACCCTGTAGTGGTACAGATGAGATGGGCCATTCGACCTCTCTTGGGTTGTTTCCCCTGGTTGTTTGCAGTGTTGGCTGCCTGTGAGGGGCGGAAGATGAACACTCTCCCTGGGTGGCCCTTGACGAACGATCCAAAGAGGTCGCCACAGCAGGTTTTTCAGGACGGTGCTTCTGGTGGAAGAAAACAGTGAGTTCGGTGGGCCATTCTGCCTTAACCCAATGATGGCGTAAACATGCGTAAACACATGTAAACACATATATGTGTGTGTCACCTTCACCCGTTTTCAGAACGGTGCTGAGTATGTTGGGTTTGTTCGCTGTCTCAGGTGTGTGAAGATTGGACTCTTGCCCCCCAGAAGCACCATTCAACAACAGAGAGCATGGACAGGAGTTGACTCCCCCAAAGTGCGCGGGCGTTTTGCTTTGCCGGGGATCAGCCAATTGGGCTTGGCGCACACAGATGTGCCAGATCGGTTCAATGTCCAAATCCAATGGCCTACTCTCGAGTGTCAAGCTGATTCTGGAAAAAATGTGAGAGGTTTTCAAAACGGCTTGTTGTATCTTGGGTCTGATTTTGGACAGAGGTAGTTTTGCAGGGGCAGCTGGAAGTGACATGATTTTAACAATGCCTTGTTCAAAGTTTAAACTCTTGGCATGGCTTCTTGTGCGGGAGGATGAGCATCGATTTTTGTCAGCGATATGTTATCATGTCGTGCAGCAGATGTGCAGTTCTAAACATTGGCCCTAAACTAACCGAACGTGACATCAGGCGATTCTGGGTCAAAAACAGGGCGATTCTGGTTCAACCTACCCTGCTTTGGTGGAGGTTGAGTTCCACACAGCCACCTTAGGGTTCTGCTTCAGGAGTGGTGATGCAAGTAGGAAGTGGCGGGGGACGCTTGCAAGTGCTCCGCTATGCTCCGCGACGGCGGGAAAGGGGGACACCTTCCCAATGAAGATTTCTATATCTCTTCTTCCAGGCATTCCAGGTCCAGCAGCAGCTTCACCAGTGGGACAGGAGTGGTTCGCAGGAGCAGCATCCTACATCGCCCCTCAAAAGGGCCACAGACTGTGTAGCAGATGGAACAAGTAGATGGCACAAGATTCAATCTGGACTTCGAGTAGATGGCACAATGTCGGAGTTTTCTTTTTGGACTTCTGGTTTGGTGCCAGACTCAGGTGATCTGAAAACCCATATTTTTGGTACGAAACGTGTAGCAGACTTCAAGGGCTTGGAACGGTGCAGTTTGGAGGATCTCAGAGGAGCTCGTGCTCTGTCCATGTGAGAAGCTCGTGCGGTCTCCCGCTGATCTCTGGTCAGACGGAGCGATTCTTTGGAGTTAAAGTGCAACGGAGCAAAAAACCGCTGGGCGGTCCTGAAAAGATGGCTCAACATCCTAAAAGCGGCATGGTATGGAACAGTTGACATCCTTCACAGATTGCCCTCAGAGCCTCAGAACTTTTGAACACTGTGATGAAATGCAACCCCTGTATGGGATTTGAGCCAACAGTTTGGAACGGTTCTTGTTCTGGCCTTTGTAATCTTAGCCAAAAAAGTTGGTAGTCCCGATCGAGGGGCGGTGGCCCGATTCTGAACCATGCAGTGTTGATTTCTCTTTGGCGAAGGGCTCACTGGACAAACGGAATAGTCTGGCCATGGCTCAAAGTTGCAAAATTGGGGACCACAAGTCAAGTGCTTCCTGAACTGAAGATGATTTGAAGAACATGTTATGTTGGTATACCAGAAATCTGGAGAACTCTCAGGGGCCAGCACACAAGTGGTTTTTGGATGTTTCTGGTCGCTCCTACTGGCAGCCACTTCTGACAATACTTTTCGGCCATCTGCATGGAAAGAGAACACGCACACAGACACACACCTGATGAGATGTCAGCTTGGCCCTGTTTTAGAGTCTAGAGCCTCTTTGGGCCTTACATTGCCCAGCACCTGGCAGGTAAGAGCACACTGCTTGAATACCTTCTTTTAGCATCCGGCTCATGCCCGAACTTGACTCCTACGCCTGGCACCGTCAGATATCGTCTCCAGTACTCGCCATGGGCGTATGGTTTGCTGGGCCATGCTGTTCCTTGGCCGGAGAAACGTGTGGCTCCGGAGTTCTCACAACTCCGGAGTTCCTACAGAGGCCAAGATGGGCAACACCAGAGCCCCATACTGCACAACATAAGCGGACGTGTGAGTTGCGGCGCCGGCGGAGCGTGGGAGCACGGACGTCGTCCCAACACCGTATAGGCACGCTGCCCGTGGCACCGAACGTCGCACCGAACGTCGCCAGGTTTTCCATCGGGCGAAGAATGGGGCATATGGTTATTGGCTCTCGTTGCAGCGCACCATTTGACCGATCTGATAGGACCGCTTTAGCATGCCTTAGCTATAGGTCGACGAGGGCACGACCGTTTTTCGTTTGAAGAGCCTCTTTCTTTCGCATAGGGAGCAACATCCGTTGTAAGGCCGTGTGATTATAGATGCAGCATGATGTAGCTAGCTTTCGTCACCAACGCCATCTTCCAAACCTTCCGATTCGGTCGAAGCGAATTGCGAGGCTTTGCCTGGCACGCTTGGGGTCCTCGCAGACGCGGGCGTGGTGCCCGGTCCCCGCGTTCGCAGCGTGAGCACCCTTCCGCGTCGGGAAATCGAATACATCGGGAATTTGGATGAATGTGGAACATCTGTGAGCACACGGGATGAAGATACCTGCTTGGGTGGCCCAGAAAGCTGGCCCCTCTCACCTGGCAAACAGCCATGTCCATAACCAGAATTTTGAAGCCTTTGCGACCTCGTAGGGTCGACACATGGCCCACAGCTGCTGACAACGCACATCATTGATCATCATTGTAACAACAGATGACCTCCATCATTGGGGTCTTTCCCCCCCAAGTACTCGTATATACTCGTATACTAACATGTCCACTCCACATATAAGTGGGTGTGAACAATATAGATCTAATAGAACCCTTCATTCATACTCGTTTGCTCCGGTTCATGTGAAATCCCACGGATGTTGCGACATCCCCGAACGGGTTTGGTGCGTCGACATTGGTCGGTCCTTCGATGCCACCGAAGAACCGTAAGAGCCGAGTCTCCGATGCGCCACCGGCCGGAAAAAGACAGCTGCGACGCGTCGCGAGGTTTCGAAAAACCATCCATGGGACTGGGAATGACTGGATATACATCTTGTTCATTAGTTTTCCTCATTTATGACTTGCATCCATGTTAGCCATTCTTCATGGAGTGATTTGGAGTCTTTCATCAGCTCGAAGCCGAAAAAGGTTCGACGACTCTGAACCCCTCTCCAGGGGTGAAGATGGTCTGACTTCACCTGTGACACCCGACTGAGGCTGCCCAGTCGGCCTGCCGTGACCGTGAGAGGGGTGCCCTGCCTCTCGGCGATATATGCGCGATGTTCAAAAACCACCCAGGAAACAGACGCATCCAAAGGAGGTGAGTTGGAAGGGCTTGATCCGCAAAGCACCAGGGATGTAGACACTCCATGACACCCCGGGATGGAATCAGGTAGTACGTTGGGGTGGTTTTAAGGGTCAATGTAGCGCACGTGTGTGTATCAATGCCATACATACACATGAGTGTTTGGCGTTTCGAACAGGATCGGAGTTTATATAAAATCCATCCAATTCCTGATGACTCCAAGCTCAGGTTCCATTTGGGCAAGTCGAACGGTTTTCCACTTTTGTTGGGGTCTGGAGGGTCACCTTTGTGGATCGTTCACCCGGTGCACCGGGAATAAGAAGAGCTTTTTGTTCACCAAGGAAGTACACCACAGGAAGTAACTCATTCATACATATTCATACCATGTCTTGGACCCACCTAATGTGACCACCTCCTGATCTTGAAGTACCCTACTTGCGCCAAGTGACCAACAATTAACAATTACTGTAGGTCATCGATCAAAGAAATTGGACAGCACCAGCACCGCCCAAAAAGATGCCTGTTGGATTGCAATCACCTGGTCAGGTGGGGGGTCAGGTGGTGCAGTGCTGGCATGCATGGGCATGCAGCTGGTTGATTTTATTCCGGCGCTTTATCTTGACCCCCAGAGCCAGAAACCTACCCTGGACACCCAAAGCTTCCTCCACGTCCAATTGACATCTTCCAAGGTGCCAGTTCCAACAAGGCGGGCGAGACCCAGTTGAGACCATTCACAAGGGAAGCACAATGGCCGGTTTTACACATCGCTTGCAGGTTCATTCCACTGGTCATTGCTGTAACTGGAGTTGTTTGTTGCTTACCACCGGGAGGCTCGAAAGTGCATGGGTCAGGCTTGGGATGCTTGAGCCCACTGGCTGGTATGTTATGTGACTTGAAAGTTATTTTGTTCTATAATATATAGTGCCATTTGCATTGCTTCTCAGACTGCACCCGTCGTTTTCAGCGCCAGGCTCCACCGAGACGGCTGGAGCACTCAGCACGGGCATGTTTTTTTTCCACCATGAGTTCTGGCGACGGCGAGCCGTTTTCCATGTGATTTTTGGGGAACCAATGGCGAGCCCTGAAGAAACATGCCGAGCCCAGTGGCGAGCCATTCTGCGGTCTTCGGCTTCACTTTTTCAGAGGACGTATCCAACACCTTTGCTGGGGCTGGCACGTTGGGCTTGAGGAAACGACAAACAACACACTGCTGGAAACGGCGCAGTGCCCCCCTGGAGCCCTCGCCCAGGTCCGGGGTCACTGCTACGTCCTGTCCGTTTGGCGCGATGGCAGCGGCCTGGGAGCCGAGCGGTGCGGAGGAGCTGTGGATGGGAGTCTGAAGGAAGAAGACCAGCATCAAAATCCATAAAAGGCTGATCCAGGTGACATCCCATGTATTTTGATTGATTTCATGACTCTTGATGGATAAATCTGGATCTATACTTGTATGATGAAGTTATAGACTTCAATGAGCGTGATGACGCATACCTGATGCGCATTTGTTGTGGGTCGGTGCGGTGCGTTGGAGGTGGCCGATCTCGCTTCGGTTCCTCCATGCAGCCTGGCCAGCGACCTCCTCTTGCGACTGGTGACCGTTCTGAAAGTGATTCTCCTTAGGTGGCGCCTGGGATTTCGATGGCTCTGGGCGCTCGACCACCTTAGCTTGTCCGAGTGGCCCAGAAGCGGGGACGGATGGTCAAATCGATGGCACTGGAACCCGGCCTGATCAGTCAAGATCTATAGACAGGTTGCGGGTGTTGTTTGGGAGCTTTGTGTACTTGGTTCATCTTGCTTTCAGCTTCTCAAGATCGGGAAGCATCGGGTTCATTGACACCATTTGCCTACTAACCGGCAGTAGAAGCCGAGCTGTGGGCTTGCCCGAACACATGCAGAGTTCATAGGCTCCTGCACTGCCTTTCCATCAAACACAGGGTGTGACAGTGCGTGACCAAAGCTGATAACTAACCTGTTCGGCAGGGTGCATTGGCCACAGACCTACCCAGGAAGTACGTGGATAGCCTGCAAAAGCCTTTCTTGGGGATTGGCATTTGTGTAAAAGGTCAAGCCTTCCCTTCCAGGGAAACAGAGGGAGTCAGCAGAAGATCAAGTGATTCTGTATACCTGGCTTCTAGCAGTTCCATGGCGGGGTTCCGGTTCCGCGGGATGGGACGGGGTGCCCCTGTCACATCCAATGAGTGGTGGATGTGCCAGGGACTAAAAACCACCTCTTTTCTGACCCATTCGGCTGGGCAGCTGGGAGCTGAACCAAGACCCAGATGGATTGCTGTCATGTTTTGTTTGGGGGAGGTTGCGGGTTTTACTCATTGGCATCTAAATTCCAAGATTCCAAAGTGTACAATTGGAACTCCCTCCGACTGCTTCTCCCTCCTTCTCGGCTCAGACAGATCTTCTACACACCTCTCAGCGATCGGCGATGTGTTTAAGGATCAAGTTGGATGAAGTCGATCCTCCAACCTTGGAGCTAAGTGTCTTCCCACCAAGCCTGGAAAACGTCAGCGGCTTATTGGCCTTCAGAGTCAGAGATGGTTTGAATATATTGGTGTCATTTTTCATGCTAAAATTTGGAGCCACTATCTGTCCCATACCAACTGCTTGAGACAGCTTTTACGTGCCCTCCATCAGCAGCACTCCCGGAGAGCGGCACTTTTGGAGCAGAGTTTGTGGTGGAGCAGGACTTCATGCTCATGCGACGTAGTCGAAATGACTACTGATTGGTGATAGTGCAGTGAAGCCTTTGGGCCTCTTTCTGGGTGAGGATGCATCGAATTCTAGGCCTCCATAGAGTCCAAGCCCAGAAGAATTTGCTTCCTCCTTAAACCTGGACACTTTCAGGATGTCGCAGAAAAACGCCAACCCACAATTCCATCTCTCAACCCCCAGACCACACAAAACCGCCATCGCACGGTGAGTGATCACCGCTGCCGCCTTCAGAGAGCGCGGTCACCACCCATGGCATCGCCCGACAGCAGCCCGAGCAGTCCAAGGGTCGGGATGCGCTCGTTGCTGGGATGGTGGAAGGAGACCACTGATGCCAGGCTCAGCTAATGTGACAGGGCAGTTTGAGCACACATTCATTCCTTTAACTTCAACTGTTCTGCACAAGAGATGGTTTTGTTAGTTTATGATTTGAGCATGCATTGGCGTGCCATGTGACTGTCGCACCTGGTTCTCGCGATGGGCGTGAAGGGTTTGGTCGATGTCAATGTTGCGCACAATTGATGTGCAATCCCTTGGCTGAATGACCCAAACCCTGTGCCAGGTGAGTTGTGTTCGTGTTCGTGTTTGCGGAACCTGAAACTGCAACAACAAAGGGGATCACCGGACAAGAAAAATATTGCAAAAACATGTGGCAGTGCTTGCCGACAGGGTGTGCAACCCTGAGGGCTACACCCCAAGTTCAGCCAATCGCGACAGTGGGAACGGGGGTGTAGGCCACATATGGCCACATGCTGTAATAAGTATCCTATCATTGTCCATATTTGTGAATGAACAGAGGCCCGGAGCTACCCAGTGACCGAACTAGATCCCCTGGTGCGAGGTCACGAACAGGCCTGTAAAAGGTCACTAGCAGGGACTCAAAAAGGCTACTAAAAAAGGTCCTGGGGGAAATATCATTGATTGATCCGGCCATTGAGGATGTGGTCATGCTGAACAGCCCTTGGATGTCTCGCCGGACTGGTTTGACCGTCCGCTGTGTGACGATCTTCCTCAGCATCGTGCAGTGGTGTGTCTATTGGAATGATGCTCGGATCTAAAAAACAAACACACACACACATATATATATATATATGTAACTATAACTAGTGGTCCCCCAAATAGATCGATAGAAACGGTTTGCAATTTGCAATACATGTTCTACGTGGGGATCTACGAACCTTCTATCTATTTAGGGGGTCGTGTTATAAACTGCTACGAAACGCGTGCCAGAAAGAGGCAGAACATGTATGAACACTCGCTATAATCACGAAAGGTAGCTTGAGCTACCTGAGTTCTCCTTGCTTTAGCAAAAATGTATTACAATCAGGAGTTGGGATTGTGCATTGAGTTTGGTCCTGTAAGAGTTGATTCTGTTCGTCGGGGGGGGGGGCCCCCCCCCTGGATCAAATCCCCCCTGCACACAATTTGTGTATTCTGTTTGGTCCTGCTTTCTGCGCGCGCCCGCGCCAAAAGGTCAAAAAAAGGACAGCGATGTTGGGTAGATTAACAAGGTGTCCGCAGATGGTGGATTTTGCCAGTCCGCTGTATCAGCACTGCAGATGGCATTTTTGGCAAACATGCAAGTGTAGATGACATCCTGGCGACCAGAGCAGCGACCAGAAACATCACGTCCAAGTCTCTGGCGCCAAAATATAAACCAAGTAGACAGTTCTTCTATGGTCTTCTATATTGATGTGTTTGGCTTCTTTGACGGTTTGTTTCTACTTGAAACGCACATGTTACTTTGCTCCCTTTTCGATTTGAGCTTCAGCAAAAGAGCCAAACATGCGAGGTGTTTGGGCCGTTCCGGGATTCCGTGTTGGGTGCTTCTTGGGGGGGTTGAGATGCAACCACCTCCGCGGATGGAACGACTCGAAACGATCCTGACAGATCGGCCAGTGGCCCAACGACTCCCAAATAGATAGAAAAACCAACATCCCTTTCAACATGTATACCGGACATGGTTTCCCTCTCTCTCTCTCTATGTATACGTGGGGATCTCTATAAATAGGGAATCGGCATCGCTGGCCTCAGATCTACAAGACCATTGAAAAAGAAGATATGGCAGGTCAGACTCAGAGGAGGACCTTTGGCAAGATGCTTGCATCATACATGCAACTAGAATCAACTAGATATATTCCTGGAAAGTATTCCTGGAATCTCTTCCAAAATTGATGACTGTATTGTTAGCAAGGTTTGAAGTTAAAACTTCAGGCTAGCTCCGGGACGGAATACTGTTTGGCGAGTTGATGGTGTAGTTTATTGATGTTTATTGCCCAAGTTAGTTCATAGAGGCCGCATAACCTAGTGCAAGACATAAACCTAACAATTGCCTGGCAGGAGTGCAGATGTGCACTCTACACTACTGGAGAATGCACTTTGCTTACTAGAAGTCTTACTAAATATTTTGAATAAACACTTTCGCTGATGGAGTGGAGATTTCGATGGCGTTCCAAGAGGTGTTCTTTTGGCACTCCTGTTCGAGGCATGGCACACTCTTGGTCTGGAGAGAGAATAACACCTCATCAAGGCCTCAAAAGATCCTCACCAGTTGTTCCTCCACTGGCTCGGCATTTGGAGGTCAATTCATGCGAGGGAAAGTGCGGGTCCACGGAGCATGACCAAGCACTGCGGTAACGCACTCACATACCGACACAAGAGTTGTTCTTTGACCTGTTTGGAACACCTGGCGGGGCCGTCCTCGCACCAGTCCTTGCACCCTGCCTGCCGCATGGTTTCGACTCGAAACGGCTGAGTTTCAGGAATTTCAACGGCGAGCGGCCCGGTTTCTCTTTCTCCCCTATGGCAGTTTCCTGCTGATGTGGTCTTTCTTAGCCGCCAGCCTTTGGTCCATGTTCACGAAAAATCCCGAGAGACGCTCGGTGTTCAGCGGCCGAGGGGAGGGTACAGGTGACAGTGACAGCTGAAGTTTCTGCGATTCAACGTGCTTCGTTGGGCGTGCCTTGCAAGTTTGCATTATACATGTTGTATTATTTGTATTTGGGTCACGGATGGTCACGGTCCTGGTGGGATTTGTTTCTCCACTCACTCACTATGTGTTTACATATAGTCGACATTGTTGCAATTCGGTGTCACAGGGCCACAGGGATGAGCTTCCAGGCAAATGAGCAAATCCAGTCCTTTGAGTGATAGCCACGTTCGTGTCACATAATAGTGAGGAATGATGACATGATGGCATGCTCCTGGTGGAAGATACCTGAACAATCAATCATCCATCAACTTGAAAAGAAGCACCGGGCAGAGGAAAGAGACCAGAAGAGGGTGGGGCCAAAGTCCACCCAGATACTGGTGGATGGCCGTCATGTTTGGTCTGAAAAGGCCGCGGACAATGGTCCAGTGGTCCACGGCGCTGCTGCCAACGCTCGGTTGGACATCCTTCCTGCTCCGAGGCGTGCGAGGGTCTATGGCCTTGTGCTTGGGGCTGAATTTGAGCACCTGGCTGTTGGCTGTCTTGACCATGTGTCTTGGATGCCAGGGGTTCGGAGGTTCAGGTGGATTCTCCCAGACACCTCATGGGACTGGCATGTGACCTACATTGGGTGATGTGCCAGGCACATATAGAGAGAGAGAGAGAGTGATTGATTTCTGAGTAGATGGCACAGACCCTTACATGATGTTACATGTCTCTTGGATGGGGGTCCATATAAACCACCGAACTTGGAGATTGCACCATCTACTCTTGAAACCGAATATCTACCAGTTCCATGGAGTGTTGTGGATTGGATCAGCGTTTGAGGCATCGACCAACCCCTCGCGGTGGTCAGCGGTGGTGAGTGTGGGTGTCAGATGGTGGTGAATTCACTGCGAATCCCTTTCAGAGGGTTGACAGGATCGAGATGTCGTGTGCGTCTCCCCGATGGTGGATGACCCAGATGGATGACCTGGCGCTCCATGTTGACCCAGCTCCACTCCATGGGGCTGGAAGA